AGTTTATTCAGCCTTCACTTTCCTCCCTGCCAAGCTAAAGGGTTTAATACATTCGAATAAAATAGGAGAAAAACAACAGAATGACAAAGAAATTTGTTCTGATTTGGACAGGTTGGTATTTGTGGCTCAGGAAAGCACCCCTGTGACATGGCTTTTCTTCCCTTTGCAGCTTTGCCAGTTGCTAGAGGGATCAAACACAACCCTCAGACAACACATGGAAAGGCCCAGCAAGGCGGTGGTTAGAAAATCATATTTTCATAAACTGCAATCCTGTATGCTAATGTATGCACAATTTGCATTCCTTCCCAGCCACAAACTCGTACATTAGAAGTGCCCACACTTCCTTCCGCTAGCACTTACAGCAGGCAACAGAGAAAATAATGCCTCAGAAATATTTATCTTAATTCTCCTTATCTAGTAACTTGTTGCAGTGGTGGAGCCCATTAAGCCCATTAATTCTGAATGTAAAAACTTTGCTAATTTGCAGCCGCAGAAGTTTATTCAGCCTTCACTTTCCTCCCCCCCAAGCTAAAGGGTTTAATACATGGGAATAAAATAAGAGAAAAACAACAGAATGACAAGAAATTTGTTCTGATTTGGAAGTTGGTATTTGTGGGTCAGGAAAGCACCCCTGTGACATGGCTTTTCTTCCCTTTGCAGCTTTGCCAGTTGCTAGAGGGATCAAACACAACCGCTAGATAACACATGGAAAGGCCCTGCAAGGTGGTGCTTAGAAAATCATATTTTCATAATTTCACAATCCAAAACTATCATTCCTAATATATTCCTCTGTGAAGGCACGACTCCTGCACGAACCAGGGCTCACATCTTTTAAACATCCAGTCTTATTTTCTCAATTGCAAGTGATGACGGAAAACTCAACCAAACTGGCAGCAATTTTAGCTGGGAATAACTTTTGCTCACAGGGCAATTTTTCCAACTCCAAGTTCCATTCCTAAGATTTTGCTACATCACTTCTCAAATGTTAAAAAGCAATTACAATCATAAATCTTTCCGATACAGACGACAGAAACAGGCTTCATGTTACTTAAAGAGGGGCGTCTAACAGACAGTTACCTAAATCCAAGCCAGCTCTGTGTGCTCTCTTCTGCATCAACAATAATAGAAAAGGGACTCTGAGGGGAGAGTCATCCGTTATCATCAGACAACGGGTACTTTCTGAACATGTCAGCTGCTCATCTTGCACTCCAAAGAAAGCCTGAAACAGCAGTGCAAGCTGAGGTAGATAATTATGAGGTGCCTAAAGCGGGTGGAAAGGATCTTGCCCTGTCTTCAACAAGCAGAACATTCTTATGGTTTCTGCTGGATTAACTCACGTCAGTTCTGTAAGTCTCCTAATAAAAGAGTTTTCCTCTCTCCTTCTCAAAACCCACATACTAATAGAAAGCAAGCACTTATACGGTCTAGGTACTAAATACTAAGAAAGCAACAGCATCAGTCAAATGCTTCTATGAGCAATTGCTCAGATATTGGGGAAAAACAAACAAACAGACAAAAAACCCACGTTCTGCTCCTGCCAAAGACTTTTCTCCAACTCTCTCCAGTGGAAGAGCTGAGGAATATTGGAAAAGCTCAGAGAGAAAGCAACGTTCACTACCGCTCATACTAGTTGTTTTGCATAATGAAACATTCATTATTATCAGTTTGTTGCTAAAGCATGTGGTTTGCAAGCCGTGAGCATCACTGAACTTACCCTTCTGCAAGAAGCCAACAGTGCTGGGCATCCCGTCCTGCTACAAGGCGGCACCTGCAACACCCAGGATTTCACGTTATCGCTTAGTTGTCACACTTATTATTTACATGCCACACTGCTGGCGATTATCGTTCCTAGGGGAGGATGAAGTTAGGAGAAGGCTGCTTTTCGTCTAAATATAACCAAGTTGTCTTGACAGCAGAGCCCAAGGGGGCCCAAGGCACTATGGAGCTGGCTGCCGGGGTGCAGGCGCCGTGCAGTTCAGCTTCCCGGGCTGCCCTGCAAACCGGCCTCCCGCGCGTGGCACCGCGCTCTGCGGCCACGTCCCGGCACCGCTTCCCGGAGCCATGCTGGATGCTCGCTCGCTCCTACAGGGACACGCAGGCAGATTCCTGAAGCTCCCAGGGTCCTCTGCCTACTCCGCTCCAGCCTGGAGCTGCCCTGCTTCCCATCAAGGTGCTAGGTAAGGGTCATGAAAAGGAACAACAAAAAAGACGTAAATATTCGCATATAGGTATGCATATACACAAATCCATGTGTATTTTTTAATCATGAAATGCCTTATTTTCCTTTCCTGTCCTCTTCCTCTGCTCCATGCTTCCCAAGCAGTTGAGCCCCAGCATACCCCACTGCTCACATCATCTCCCTAGCCGGCCCAGCACTGCATCCCTTCCATCCAGCATCCCTCGGGATGCAACGCGTCGCTTTTGCAGCGTTCCCACCACCTCCTCCCATGAGTGAAGGGGGTTAAAGGAGAGGAAGAATTAGGTGTAGAGTCTAGTTTGGGAACCTAGTTAATAATAAATGAGGAGGAAATAAAACAATGTGAAAACACTCACAAACTTCTGCCTTAAAGCTTGCCCAGAAGGGCTAACAGCTTACGGCAAAGCCCCTGGGTTTCAGATACACGTACAGAGATCCTAATGCAAAAACAAACAAACAGAAAAAAAAAACAAAAGCCACCAACAGCAGCAAGAAAAGAAAATAGACGAAATCCAGCAAAGATCCCTTTCCCTGTACTTAGCCTAAGAATTGTGGCTTCCTGGTTTTCAGCAATTAATCTCAAAAAGGACAGCGCTTGCTCATACCTTACCATTTATGGTTACAGAAAACTTCTGTTTCTGTTCTGGGAGAACTAAGTTCAGCCACAGCCAAGGAAACCCAGAGAAGGATTAAGAGAAAAACCAGGAGGAAACTCAGAGCTCCACTACTTGCTCTTTGACGGAAAGATTTCGCCCCGAATCAGCGGCGTGACAGAAGTCCCTTCCTCAGCAAAGCCTCCGAGAGGGCAGCTTTGCACCAACAACAGTAAGTAGCACCCGGAGCAAGCACCTCCCTGGGGAGCAGAGCGGCCTTGGTGTGGGGAGCGCTGGAGGGCCAGCGGCAGGAGCCCTTCTGAGCACCAGCACGACACGCTGAGACCCAGGGAGCTCAACGCTGGGAGGCCGAGCCGCTCTCCATTCTGTAGCTGGTAAATCGGGATGCGACCTGCGGGTGCCTCGTAATTAAGTGCACATTAGGGTGATATTATAACCCAGAGGAGCTGGGGGGGTTGCAGCACAGCTTAGCGGCCTTTCTGCTGCTTGAGGGCGCAGGAGATGCCACCCAAGCACCACCAATGTCCCTGGGTGCTGTTGCACCTGGGGGGACACAGATAGGACCCCCCGTGCTAGCAGAGGTCACAGCACCTTGAGAGCCAGCGGGGGCAGCCAGAAACTGTCCCCGAGGCCCAAATGCCTCCGAATCAAGACGAGGCCTCGCTTCCGAGCACAGCAGATGGCCACCCCGGCAGCAGCACCAGCAGCTGTCAGTGCAGCAATCACACACCCAAATGGCCCAGCTAATGTACTGTGTAATTTAACTAGACTGCGGAAAAAAAGATTAGGGAGTGGGGACATTATGAAAAGATTTGGAGCTTATATTTCCCTAATAATGATGGAGGCACCCTGCAATTTTCAGTGCAAAAGATGCATTTAGATTTGCTCTCAAAGTAGGAGCAAAAAACAGTGCTCCTCGCTGCAACGTCTGAATATCCAAATGCTCCAAGGCTTCCCAGGCCACCGACCCCTCTGCGAGGGCACCTTCGTCAAGCATTAAGCGTTTCCTTGGATAAAGTCATTAAATGAGCTCTCAGCATTGCTCCTAACGCATATTTGTGGGGCTAAAAACAGAAAAGATGACTTTACAATCTGACAAAATTAACCTTTGTAAGACTGGAGGGAAGTGACGTTCCCTATAAACATGTTATTCTAAACACATGTAGCATTCAGGTGTCTATAAGAGCAGAAAATGCAGGACTTGTGGCAAAATCAGAACCCAAGCACCTTCGGGAAGAAGTTACACAGCGCGGTTCACGGCCCTCCCTCCCCTCACTGCTTTCCCGTGCTGTGCTCCCTGCTTTCTGCCAATGCAATTCTGCGTACGGACTGCTTCGTGCTGCAGATCTTGCTGTCTCCTTGCTCACCTGAGGCATCAAACGCGCACCGGGAAGCGCGTGGCAACCATCCGCAGGCCTGCGGGTGCCGGGAGCATCGCTGCTGTACCCCGCCTGCAGAGCAAGCCCCTTATCAATCCTGTGTTTATAGGAGCACACCGAGGTATTTTTAGACTAGTCTTTCTTGTTAGCAGGCCCTGCATAATTCATACGTCCTTATTCACTCCGGCACGGAGCAGACGTCTCAGGAAGCGGGGGAATGAGGGAGGAACAGGAGCACGAGCAGCCCACACTGCGCGCCAGGGTGCGCAGGGAAGTGCAGCTGGGAAAGGTTCTCCTTCCCCTCCAGGTTTCACGGGGAAATAGCTGCTTTTCTCATGGACAGGGTTGATCAGGTGGGACGAGGCACCTGGTACCTCTGCCACAGGCCTGGACGTCCTCCAAGCAGCCCAAGGGGCAGCTACAGTTCCTGGTAATTCTTGGGTTAGCTCCCACAGGTCATGGTTTTCCACACAGTGAGATATTACTCAGCTGACTGGACAGCTCTGGAACCCTGCTGTTGGGCTAGAGCACGGGGGAGCTTTCCCTCGGGCCGTGCCAGCAGAGCCACCATGGCCTTGTGCTTTCTCCCCAGCCTCCCGATTATACACGAATCATCAACACTCTCCGAGCGCTTCCTGGAAGCGGAGCAGGGGCTCAGTTGTCCCTCGTTAACTCCCCACTGCGTTATGAGGGACTGTAACTACCACCATATGCTCCCTGGGCCCTGCACCAGGGCTCATGATATTCTTGGTCACTTTATTCCATTTCCCCTGTGACCACGGGGCACAAGAGCGAAAAAGGAATCAGATGCTGCAGACACAGAGCAGAAGTGACTGGACATTAAGTGCTGTGTTGTGCAATCAATCCACATTTTACATAGTTTGTTTCTTAAAGATGCCATGCTTCCGTTTCTTCCGCACAGAAGGAAAAGAAAGGCCAGCAGTTTCCACGGAGCAATAGTGGAATTCTGTGCGCTGGCTCCTTGTGCACAGCTCGACAGCAGCGTGCACGGAGCTACCTGCGCTTGCTGCCAGCGCTCCAGTTATAGCCCTGCCACCAAGAAAACACCACGCTGGCTTATTTAAGGGCCCACAATTAGCTTACGTGGCCGCACGGGGTTTCTGCACAGAGCTCGAGTGCCAGCCAGCAGGTACGCCTCGTTACAGAGCAACTGCCAGTTTAAAAATGCCTCCTGCAATGTCAGTGAATTATACATGATCAGAGAAACAATTCCCCTCAAACGGCTGCGAGCAAAATTCACAGTGGAACTTGATGTTTTATTTAAACAGAAATTGAACATGAAATTGGGCAAAATTCACTGCTCCAGCACCAGTAACTCCTACTCCTAGGGAGGCCTCAAACCACCTTATTTGATATTTTATTTGCAGTTCTCCTGTCTACTTTAAATATGTGTTTTCACAAAAACGTCTGTAACTAGCCCCTAAGTGCACTAAGCTGCCAATGCCGATTTATGGTCCACATACTTTTGTATTTTTACTCTTACAAACAGTTAAAAGTTCTGGTGAGATAATATCAGTCTATGAACAGACTATTTTTTTGAGCAGAAGAGCACGTTGACAAGTTAGGCATGTGCTTATCTCACACTGCATCTAAACTTAAAAAGTCTGGGAATTTGCCCAGTCACTTGGTGGACAGGACTTGGAGAAGCACCATGTGGTACTGAAGGCCAGGCCGCAAGAACAAACATTAAATAACTGCACGTGCCTGAAGCTGAAATCCTAAAAATGCAGCTGATTGTGGCATTAGAGCACTCTACACGTGAAAGCAGGACTGAAATGTGCTGTTGTGTGCATGCAGCATACCTTCCCTTTAGCCTTCCCCTCCGCTTGCCTCTCTTCGGGGCCAGCAAGAGCATCATTGAAGCCCCACGCAGCTTGGGGAGGCGGCAGGACCGGGGCTGCAACGGGGCAGCTCTTGTCCCCCGCCTGGCTCTGTGACAGGCTGTGAGCAGCCCACACGGACAAGGACAAACGACAACTAGTAATGCAAACAGACTAAACAAAATAGAGAAGAAAAAAAAAAAAAAAAAAAAAAAGACTGCCATACTGTACCTTAAGTATCAGGGAACAAAAATGCAGGTTTCTGAGAGGAGGAAAAAAAAAAAGAAAGAAAAAAAGAAATGAAAAATCAATAGCACTTAAGCTGTGGGTTGTTCAGAAATGGGCTGGTTCCCCAAAGGGATACATAATATTTCAGAAACTTGTCAGCTTTTCCCTGTCTTTCTCCCTTCCACCCCCTCCCCCTCCCCAGTTTGACTCCAGAATCCACCATTTCAGCTCTCCTGACTCTGAATCATGCTGGGAAAGAAGCTGGTGACTGCGCAGAAGCGAGGGGAGACGCGAGCCCTGTGCCTGGGCCTGGCCATGGTCGCGTGCTCCATGATGATGTACTTCTTCATCGGCATCACCATCGTGCCCTCCTACACTAAGAGGTAACGACAAGCACTTCCCCCTAAATATGGAGCTGCTCCTTTTTGCTGCCACTATAGATTAAGAAATAGTGCCCAAAGATGAGAGTGTTTCTCACCCTTTAATTCATTTCACAAGTTCCTGTTCCACACACAAAATCAATTTGTGAGGAACTGAAGTGCTGTGAACCCGAGCATGCCCTGGCATTTCAGCTCATCCTTTCCAGGCTCAGAGAGTCTCCTCTTGATAGGCAAAGCAAGAGCACACACTTTATTCCTGGGCCTAAGAGCATCTTTAAGCTCAAAAGCAGCAGGCTTGTACTTTGACACGTATAAATGTTATCTTTGATATCATGAATTTCTGAACAGCCAGGCTGCAGCCTCCTGATCATCATGAAGCTCCTAACTGACAGTACCATCATTAGGAAAGTTCAGTAACACATTAAAGAGAACAGCCAGGCTGCAGCCTCCTGATCACCATGAAGCTCCTAACTGACAGTACCATTAGGAAAGTTCAGTACCACATTAAAGAAAAAAAATGCTGTTGAAAGCCTGGCTCTGAGACATGGAAACCATTGTTTTTAGAAACAGGATGATTTCCATCCACCTGATTACATTACTAAAGAGATTTGTTTTAAGAACAGAGTGTTCTTGACTATTTTTCTGCTTTTAATGCCATCAAAATGTATGGTGTAAGCAGAAGTGCACTATGGTGTAAGTAACCTAAGAGCAAGTCTTCAAGGAAGCAACAGTGCATTTGGTCCCCACAAAAAGCCATGAACCCTTTCCATGCTCCCACTCTCAGCTGGCACAAGTAGATGGGTCCCCAGCACCTGGCCCCTACCAAACCCTGCCAGAGCACTTGCTCATGAGATATATTGGGGTTTTTTACCGCAGTGTTTGGACAACAGAAACTGTGTGCAAGTTGCTCAAAGCCACCATCAAGGACAGAGACCACTGCTCACCCAGCGAAGACTCGGAGGACGAGGAGGTCTTTCACTACCCTTGTCTAGAGGTGTGGGTTAACCTGACAGCCTCAGGACAGGAGGTTATGCTGTACAGCACTGAAGACACACTGGAAAGAAACTCTAAGGTACTTGCAATATAAACTCGATGCATCAGTCTCTGCTAGTAGCTAATGCCGTTGGTTCAGAGGAGGGGGCAGCAAGTCTGGTATACACTAAGCATAAACCAAGGCAATTCTAAATTTTCCAAAAAAAATATGTACAGTTTTAGAGCTTAAGCATTATATCAAACATTAAGGTAATACTTGTGAAGCCATTATACAAACTGAAAATGACAGTATTTACACTCAGGTATACGTAAGGTTCTGTGAGCTGAAGCACAATAGTGAGAAATTGTGTGCATCTGTGGCTTGCTCAGGGGCCTGTTGACTTAGCACAGCAGAGGCCTCAAGTTAAATTGCGGCCTAAGCGAGAGCACAAATCCCCAGCTCATTTCCACTCCAGAAGTGAGAACTGAAGCTCTGTTCCTAAAACATCTGGAGTTTACAAGCCTGCAAAACTGGGCACAGACATCTGACAGGAGCATGGCAAGCAGGTGCAGGACAGGCGAGAGCCTCCAGAGCTGCTATGCGAGTTACTAAGGTCTCTGTTGATAGCAGCGTGTCAGCTTTGCTCAGTCATACTTCACTACAAATCCTGCATTATAGTATCTAATCCAACAAATCATCTTTCTTTATTCCAGTGTTTCTACATCCCAGGCAACTCGGAGAAGCCCAAAGAGGTAAAAAAGCGAATAGAAACCATTGCAAACAACCTGAAAAGGTACCAGACTTTCCCGTGCTACTACGACCCAGGAGGAACGCAGACGAAGGCCATTCTGAGCAGACTCTATCCCCTCAAAGGCCTCCTCTTCGCCTTCCTCTGGCCCACGCTCTTGTTTACAGGGGGGTGCCTGATTATCGTCCTGGTAAAAATCAGCCAGTACGTTTCTGTGCTGTCTGCTTGGCAATACAAAATAAATATCTAGGGTAGATGCTCACGGTATATTAAATGCCTCTGGTGTGTATTGCCATTTGTATTTCTGACTTTTAACTATGCCAGACAGCAATCTGCGGACGGGCATTCTAGAAAAACCAAATGACATCTCCCATAGTTTATCTGCTACAGCTGCCAATCCATTAAACGAGGGCAAAATGCAAAGCTCAAGTCCTGGGCTTTGCATGAAAATACCTCCAAAGAACACAGACTGTGCTAGCAGATGTCATTTCTTTGGTTTTTGGGGTATTTTACAGGAACCAAAGCTGCATTTTTTTTAAACTATTAAATTCTTGCTTCATGTTATAGACAGGGTCCTATTTTTCCAGCCAGCTGATACCAGTTGTTGCCCACTCCAGCTGCTGGGGCACACACCGCTTGTGTGCACAGTACGCACTCAGGGCACTCCTGTGGGCCGCAGCGACAAGAACCTCGTACTGGTCCAGACAAATACCCCACATCACGGACCTCTCTGCTTTGGGGGGGAAAATAAATAAAATAAAAACAAGCCTCAAAGTTTAAATTCAAAACACCTAAAACTAACTGTATGTAATAAGTATGTGCATGAAGTTCAGTAAAGCAGCTTTTACAGGTATTAAGCTTTTTTACGTTCAGCTCAGACCTCAGCTTTGCTTAGCACAGGAGAGGGGTCCCATTCAAGGAACGTTACCTGCCTGCAATTTTCATGTATTATAGAAGTGGGAAGCAAGGGGAACAAGATAAGGAGTAAAACCACCATGTACCTTACTAAGTACAGCCACAGAGGCTGTCACATCTAACACACAGACTTTTCACATTATGGAAGTGTTTGTAGCACCTCCACTCCCAGGAATTCTCGGCGTCACGGACGGATAGGTCTTCTGTTCTTGCAAATGACTCTTTCAGCCAATCTCCCAACTGGTCACAGGAACAGCAGATGATTTTTTCCTGCATGCTCTGACTGGGAGCTGGGGCGCAACTAACATGAGTCTAAACCATCGCCTGGTTGAAAAACCGGTCAGTTCCCATCATATACAGCAAAGTTTCAGAGCTCAGGCAAATTCAAATGCAAACTGCAGCTGGAAAACATTGCTCTAACCAATGCTGTACAATTCCCTAGTATCACTGGGAAGAGGCATGCAAAGACATAGCCTGATCCGCGTATTTTCCAACACTGTTAATGGAAGGGTGTCAGAGTTGGCTGGCAGGAAGAGCATACGTGCTTTTCATCATGATCAGCAACTCCAAATGAGACCAGGATACTACAAAGCAGTAGTTATTAACATCAGCAATTCCCCTTCACCCGAGAGAGCACACAGGGTCAGCGCAGTGGGGCTGTAAAAAGAATATAAGTGGAGAGTTATTTCCACGAGGGGGAGAATTATTTCCACAGGGAGTGGAAATCACTTCACAGAAGGGAAGCAGAATGAGCAAGAGGAGCTTGCTCAATAGCTAGGTAGTGGACTGGATATAATTCATCACCTCCTTGAATGCTTTCTGTAGGGCAAGGCAACAGCAGCATGAGCTTTTGAAGGTGTTAAACACGCTACAGCCAAGTTACCTGAACATCAGCAACACACCCGTCACTCTCAAGAAGTCGCATGTTAACTAGGGGGCAAATTCCAATATTCCCCTACCTGTCAGAAAAACATTTTGGAGCTTTTCATGGGCAGGTGGAAATACAGCTTATTTTCCAAGTTTTACCAGAGAGCCCCGTGGAAGTAACTTGCACCCTGCCAGCATCCTGAGGGCTTTCTCAGCCTCCCTGCAGTAGATTTTGGGGCACAGTAACCAACCTGGGAAGAAATCAAAATTGCAATCAAAATTGCGAACAACTGCTCCTGGCAGCTCCCACAACAGCTCAGCCCTTGGGAGCCCTTCCCAGAGCACAGCCCGCCGCCAACATGCCCCAAGTGCTCGGCGCGAGCTGAGAACTGATGGATACCGAATGGCTGTTACCAAAAAATTACCACCCCAAGGAGCACTTAGGTATTGTCTGCATAAATACTGTGCTTTAAACGTGTCCTACTGTCTGCACGTAACCGGCAACGCTGCAGCTGCGAATGCAGAGGGGGTGACGGAGGTGACACCGAGCTGGCAGAGCAGCGCAAAGCGGGGACAGGAACGCAGGGGAGCTGGGCTGCGTGGGCAACTCTGAAACCCAGCACTGCTTTCTTGACCTTTGCATAGATTTATCTACACAGAAACATGGAAAATCATCCAGCTGACTGACATTTAAAGTCTTTCAGGCAGTGCTGATGATAGCAAATATTTTACACAGATTTAATACATCGAGAACATACAGGAAGGTGACATAAAACAAACTCGGACCAAGGGTATTCCCCTTTCTCAGCCAGGACGAAGTACGAAGTACAGCAAGTATTTACGTGTGGTAAGATTAGAAAATTCCTTCCTCAAATAGGGAAAAAAAAATCAATCTGATGCAAAAAAGTGCAATGAAGTTCTGCTGCCCTCCCTTTTCAGCCTAACTCACCTCCAGAGCAAAGGCCACCCTGGCTGGCAGCAGTCTGAGGCCCAAATCCAGAAATTAAGGATTTATCCGACTGTCAAAATTGAAGGTAGGAATCTCAGCTGTAAAGATCAAAACACGTTTGCTGCTTTTCTTCAGGATTAAACTGTACTCTGTTGCAAATAGGACTAAGAGCAAAGCAGAAAAATAAACCTAAAAAATAATTCTTCCTGAGACCTTTCCAGGATCTCACTATGGCTGAAAGAAACCTAATTCTCTAAGGGCACCATGGGCATTTCATGTTCCAGGCCTGTGGCTCTCATTTCCCAGCAGCTAGAGATGCCAGTGAAAAATTGATGCCCATCCAAGCTGCTATTGCAAAGCAATTGCACCTTCCTCTCCAGCCAAGCCCATGGGACACACCACCCGCTCACACCAGTTCACGCTAAGTTTGCAAGAGGAGAATTAACAGCTCAAAAACCCAAGCAGAGGAGGCTGACTTTGCTGCAAGTGGCACAGTTTAAAAGGAAATGCACACACACATTAAAAAAAAAAGTTTCCAAATTATCATTTCCCTAGTTATATAATCTACACCTCTCTTCTTGCAAATTCACCACCTTTGGAGCATTACCACAGACTCTCATCTTTGCAAGAAGGATTTAAGCACAGAAAGATTTATCATGTTCCACGAAGAAAGAAAATTGGCAGGTACCACAAATACCCAGTTCTTTTAATTATTCTTCACCACCACATTCTCTGAACTGCCCGTCACCCTCTCTTCTGGTCCTCTTATCTCTGCACTGGTGTAGAACTGCAGTACCCAAAAGGGCCATCACATTTCTGCTGGGAATCCAAAGTTATGCAAGTCCCATCCGTGCAAGACAAGTTTCCATAAACTGCATTTTGCCAGAGTTGCACTTTGTGTGGTCTTAAAGTGACTAAAGTCCACTGTCCTGTTACAGACCTGCTCTTTGCCATTTACCTGCATTTTCTATATGACCATCTGACTTCTCCTTCCTAAGGATATTCCCTTGCACCCATCTCAGCTGTAACTGCCCGTGGCACGTTCGGCGCTGTGGGTGCAGGTTACCCCGTGCACTCTGCGCTCTGCTCCTACCCCTCAGGCTGCCCGTGTTCCTCCCCACCAGGATCATCCCCCCGCAACCTTCCCATCGCACACGTTACTGGTGAAGGGACTGCGAGCACAGAACGGAGCCCAATATTCCTTCACTGTGCGCATCGAGCAGGCTGTTTTACAGCTAACGAGGGATCTTCTCGTGACTTATCCCCCTTTTTTTCCTCCCTTTTACGTGCTCATTTAGAGGAGGTATTCAGGGGGGTGGTTAATGGCAGCTTCACTTATGCAGTATTTCCTTACCTTGCTTATGAAATGCCAGATACAGCAGCAGAGACTTCTATTCCAGCTGCACTTACTGCTAGGAGAAACATTTTGCTAAAGAAAGCACTTTTAAAAATTGATTCTAGAAGTGAATTTGATTCTAGTCAAAGCAAAGCTAGCTTAGCTTTGAGACTTTCTCTCTGCTCCACGTTATAGAAACAGCATTTGCTCTTCCTGAATTTTCCCCACTCTCTGCCAGTGCCCAGAACTGAACTGCACTAGTGATAGGACTGCACAAGTTCAGTGCTCGACAGCGATTTCCATCCGTCCACAGCCGTGTCTGACTCGCCTAAATTTTTTCACCTATTATTTCCTTGCTCCCATCTGTCCTGCTCTTTCCTAGTGGCAATTAGTTGTGCAAAGCAACTAGTCACAGTTAACTGGTTTTGCAGACAAAAGGGAGAATCAGCAAGTGCTTCAGCCCTGGCATTTCCCATCTGTGTCTCTTGTCCATCTCATCTCCAGCAGAGGAAAGCAGCAGCAGATGGGAGGAAGGAAAGAAAAAGAAAGAAAAGAAAAAATAACAGAATTTCCAGCAAAAGATACAAGTTCAACATAACACACATCTGATCTAAAGAGAATTATTTGCCCTGCAGTAATACACAACTAAGAAAACAGTTAAAGAAATAACAGAGCTATGGCTGAGTTTTCATTAGAGACTGCAGAATCTAGGCTGTGTAACAATATTTCTTTTTAATCATAGAAACATTGGGGGTTGTTTTTTGCCTGTTTACATGCAGGTTTGGCAGAAGAAACTGGGAGCCTCCCCGACACAGGAGGGCAGCACTGGGGCCAGAAGTTTGCTGTATTTGCTTTCTCCTTCACCTCCAATTTGCCTCTCTTGCAGTGCTTATTTGCTTGCTTTTCCACCACGTTCTTGTCCTGCTTTCTACTTACTGCAGACTTATTTGTGCACTGCAGTGAGCTCCCTCCTGCCTAAATCCACTCATAAGGAAATCCAGGCTAAGGCTGCCAAGGGAGATGCCAACAGCACCTTTAAACTGAGTCCAACTGAGTACACACACACACACACACAAAAACAGACTGTTTTAAGAGCCAGCAGTCAACAAGTAGACTGTAATGAAAAGCCCAAACCCAAGAACAGACTCCTCACACACTGAATTTGGAGACTGAGTAATAATAG